GTACTAGAATGACCATGTGCACCTTCTCACAGTATTTAACTGCATGAAAGCATGCATCGTATGGTTGTTGCACCACATGATATTGAATGTAAACATACAGTCTCCTATTTAGGTGGTGTTTGGTTCTCTAGTCCTAAGACTTTTTCTAGTCCCAACTAAAAAGTCTCTAGTCCCTAAAAAGTCCCTCCCTGTTTGTTTTCAGAGACTAAAAAGTCCCTCCCTGTTTGTGTAGGGACTAGAAAAAGTCTCTGGAAACAAACACCCCCTTAAGTACACGAAGAGAGATGACGCAAGATTATAACTCTCAAAGAAACGATCCTGTGTACCTAAGGGCAAGCAAGGAGTAGAGCTCGATTGTTTCTATGTTCATATCAAAATACATCACGTATGCAGTGTACCACATAATTTTTACAGCTAGTTGGAAACTTGGAATTGCTTTTGAATGCTGTAGAAACCCACAGACATCCTAGGAATTGGAAGCATCAGGATTTGCGACTACACATGACTCAAATCGTACACGATGTGGCATCACCGTGATGGTTAGAGGGAGACGGGTTGTTCTTCTTGCTTACGTCCTGAAACTGGCACACTTGGGTGGGATAGCATCCGAGTTACATAATGTTTCTAGTTGAAGTCATGGTACTAGTACATTTCATAGGGCCTAGTGCTAAGAATGACCCAGATGGCTGCGATTCACAGTCTTCTAGGTGGAGATTCAAGTTGATTGCCTCATGCTATTTCATGAACTGATTACGTTCAGGTTGTTCGATGACGGGAGACAGGTTGTTCTTCTCTTATTGTCCTGAAGCTTTGTCCTTTGAATGTGAACAAACAATACTGTAGCCACGAATCCAAGCAGTTGTAGGCCCTTGGATGAAGCTCATAGAAAGACTGATATGCATTCCGAAGCTTGTATTCAAACTTTCAAAACCGGCAGACTACAATAACAGCTCGTTTGGCTCCCCTGATTTCATTTCATTTGGCTGAAATGAAATGAAATGAAATCTCTATCAAGATTTCATTTGGCTGAATCTAGATTCTAAATCCAAATTTCATGTTTGGCTGTCACTAGGATTTTGAGGTCAAATCTGTACCAGAACCAAAATGAGCATGAAACTATACCAGCACCAGCGCACTAGCCTTTGTGCTAGGAATAAATAGTATGAACAAATCTGTACCAACACCAACATTGACAGCTCGTTTGTTCACACATGGCAATGTTTTGCATTAAACTGAACCATGCCAATACATATAACTTAAACACGAGACTTTGTAAAAAGTTAATCTTTGCAATACGACAAAGGTTCACAACAACATCAAATGATCATAATCTAGTCAAGGTTACATAAAAACTGAATCTTTGCATTATTAGCACCATCCAAGAAAGATTTTCATTGCTCAAGGATCTTCATTTCTTCGTTCTGTTCGTTCAACATCACACTTCACACCCAAAATTTCCTGCAAAATATGATGAGAAATGGTGACATATGGTCTCATAGGGCAATAAACAATCCTTGAACACAATGGTTGGTAGAAATTGCTCAAAGTGAAAGATGAGGATAGCCAAGAAGACAAATCGAAGTGTCACACGATAAGCTTTAGCTTGCAACAATCTCTAGGAAGGGTAAGAAAACTCAACTTGATATAGAAATTTTTCAAAGGTTAACTTGCACTTCATTTGCACAATTATCATGAATCGAAAGGTAATAGCAAAAAACCATCAACAACCGAGTAGGTTAAGTAGGACCGAAACTAAGTCGATAAAAGACTACAGCCACTAAATAAGCATATATCTGGTTGATGTATTCTAGACTAATAATGCCACCTCTCGACCGAAGAAAAAAAGACTAGTTCATAAGAGACCTTCAAACACACTGAATATTTATGTGCATGCAAAATATGTTCATAAAACCTTGTTTCAGGAGACATGGCAGAACAAGTTGTTCTCAAACATGGCAGGAAAACGTTGTTTTATCAAGCCATGTTTGGGAAGACCTGGCAGGAAAACCTTATTAAGATGATAACATAAAACCTTCTATCATGCTAATCTCAAACATGGAAATAGGTAAGTACATAAATATGATGAAAAGCAAGCAAGATGCTGCCTCCTCTGCTCCATATTGGCATGACAAAATACAGGACACCCATAATATTGTACTATAACAAACAACTAAGGACAAAATGCAGTAGAGCTTGCTAGCTGGTAACTAATCACAGAACAAGAAACATACCTTCATTGGTTGATTTGCTTGAGGATCCATTTCTTCTTCATCCTTTCAGGCAGCGCCATAAGAGCCTTGAACTTGCGGTCATCTGCTATGAGGATATCATAAGCTGCTAGCAAGCCATCATCATCCAGTCCCACAATTGCATTGAGAGCGTCAAGTATTTCTTCAGGAGAGGAGGGTTTCTCAGGAGGAGCAACTTGAGCGATATCAGCTTTGTAGGCACTGGTAAAATTATCCAATTTCTCTCCAAGCATAGATGCAATTGAGTCATCCGATCGATATCTTTTCCTCTTCTGTTCCTCGCCGGTTTGGGTTGAAGATGTTGCGGCAGAATCAGTGTTGATGTTGTTGACATTCTCTGCAGCCATTTCCGCTGCACTTTCACCAGCAGTTCTGACTCCGGTTCCGGTGGCATGATCCTTCGAGAAGACAAGGCTGATAGAGTCCCAAAACTTTATGACCTTGTGCCTGTAGCATGCTGCATCTTTGTTTGCCTGCAACCCATGAAGACAAATAGTCTCATGTCATGGTGGAAAATGAACACACATCCATCCAAACACCAAACACACATCCAAAGAGAAAATCGTAGACTACATCTAAGATGTAACTCATGTCATGGTGCAAAATCACATAAATAATGGGGAAAACAAGTGCACTGCTGCAAGTTGTGATTGTTTCTCAAGAGAAGGCTGATTACTAATATAATAGCAAAACATAGGGGAAATGATGAGTAAACTACTGATTAGAAGGCTATGCATGAACAAGTATAAGTGCATGTTTTCAAATAAACTTGGCTGAATTCCACATCATGATGGAGAAGGTGTATAAGTGCATGTTTTCGAATAAACTACTTGACCACATGAATGATGAAAATGAATCTTGTGGCCATGCCATGAATACATAGATGCTCAAGATGTAGTGCTTACCTTGACATAGTTTCTCCACACGTCCTCACTATCAACCATAAGCTTGTTATGGATCCAATCCCACCCAAAACCACTCGTTGACAACATCTTGCTGACATTGACATAGTGTCTATCAATAGTCTTGCACGCAGACAGGCTGACCACGTACCACAAAAAGTTCGATCTTCCGGGGTGTGGAGCTGACCGACCGTGGGCTGGCGGAGGAATCGTCAAGAAGTCGATCTTCTGTCCGGATCGGGTGGCTGGATGGAGGTGGGTTCAGGTTAGGGTTCAAGCAGAAAAGATCCACCAGAGAGAGGGAGGGGGAGAAGAGAGGTGGAGGGAGAACCTACCAGGATTTGAAAGCTCGACGACGGCGCTGTGGTCACCGGAGGCAGCACACCATCGAACAGAAAGCTTCGCGTGTAGAGGGGACGGGGGAAGAGAACTCGGGGAGAAGCTATTCACCGGCGGGGGGTGCATCACCGGCGGCCGAGAAGGTGGGGCTCATGGCGGCGGCGACGGCGGCGGGCGTCGGGGTAGGGTGGGGGAAGGAGGCGAGAGACGAAGGCGTCGGGGTAGGGTGGGGGAAGCGAGCGAGTGGAATCCAGGAGAATGACGGGCGAGGGGCTGGGATTTGGGCCTAGGCCAAGTTTACATCGTCTGGAATCTTAGAATGAAATCCACCCTCAATTCTGTGGCAGCCAAACAAGTATATTCCGGAATTCGCAAATGAAATCCACCAAATCCGACCCAAATGATGGGTACCAAACGAGCTGTAAGCGTACATGCATCTTTTACTGAAACTAGCAAACTTTACCCAATAGATGATGTGAATTTTTTTTATCCATAAATCTACTGTCATGTATCTGCCTCAAATATGAAATTTCTAGATCTCAAAAAAAAATCTAGGTTCAGAAACTTACTTTTGCAACAGTGCACTTGTGAAATACAAGAAGATTATCACAATGCAAAATATTTCTTAACTCGTGAATACTGTATGCATATTATTCACCTTGTAAACAGCTACATATAAACAATTTTCTCTAGCACAACATCGATCACAGATCCATTATATGTTAATAACCAGTCCTCAACAAATCCCAAACTTCTGTATGTTCATCTTATTTTCCTCTCATCCGCCTTTCCAATGATTGTTTACACTGCGTATATGGTTGCAGAATACTTTGTTCCAGTGTGGAAGACATCAAGCTCGAAAAGACCTGAAACTAATGGTCATACCATATCATTTTAATAAATAAAAAGGACATTACTAATTACCATGGAAAAAATTATGTACCTTGGGTAAAGAAATCGTTGGGGATGTAAAGCTTGGAGCTTTAAACATTTTTGGGCAACAACAAATATAGCACTGCAAAAAGATTATTGAAAAATAGAGCTTGAGATCACTGTAAACTATTCAGCTAGTAACTCATTATTTACTTGCATAAATGAAAAATAGTCTACTGCATATTGAGTGATAAAGTAAAAGAAAACAGCCAAAAATATATATTGAAGCAGCATACTTTCAAATCTAGCAAAGAATTATGTTGCCCTCGAAACAACGAAGATTGTTATTTCCAGTTTTGTCAATAATCAGAAACTTTATGATATGCCTTCTCATTTTCTCCTAAAGTCTTGGAAGAGCTTAGACCCAAGATATCATGTACTCCCTCCGTCCCAAAATATAAGAACGTTTTTAACACTAGCATAGTGTCAAAAACGTTCTTATATTCTGGGACAGAGGGAGTAATTTCTAACAGCATACCAAACCTATCGTATACACGACCTTCTCAAGAAAATTTTGCCAATTTTTTCTTAGCAATTCTTCAAGTAAATGCAATCGTAATGACAGATGTAAACATATTATTAATATGCAGCAAGAAAATATTGACCAAATGTACAAAGGGTCAAAGGGATAAATATGTACTCCACAGGTGTTGCAGTCCGAGTTGTCAAGGGGCTTCTGAGTAATCTAGTTGTCGAAGGAAACCTCAAGACATGTTACACTTCTGTTGTATGCTAGGCAGTACTAGATGATTATATCAATGTTACAATGCATTATTGGAGTATAACAGAATAATTTACTGATCCATCACCAATAATCAACACATGAACAAGCCCCGTTATAGAAATGATGAAACCTGTGGTTGTCTCTCAGTACTATTTTTCTTCCTGTGACGAGGGAGAAGTATTTGTATGCAGAATGGCAATCACCACAAACACGGAGGTTCTTCATGATGCGGAGTGTGTCTCCAGAAGGAGAAGCCAAATCCCCAAAAGCAAAGGCCAGCTTTTCGCAGTGATAACGTAGTGATTCTTCTCTTCTGTCTTTTTCTGTGCTGTGTGTGGCAAAACTGGTATCAGGCACATAACCTGCAGCCTTGATACTACCTATCAACCTATCCAAATTCCTATATATCTCCTCGGAGATGGGGTGTGAACGGTCATCAACACCAAATCTATGTGTCGTTTGGCCCATTTCGATCCAACTAAAGGCATCATCCCCATCTATACCTCTCTTTTCCATCAAACTTCTAACCTTTTCTGCTTCTGTCCACCTTCCTAATCTTGCACAGATGTTACCAAGTAGTATATAATTTGTTGGCTCATAAGGTTCCATCTCAAACAGCATTTCTGCAATCTTGATGCCCGTTTCAATGTCACCGTGTTTGCTACAAGCACCAAGAACAATCCTCCATAAGGATGTTTCAGCTTCAAAGGGCATTTCCTTAATTGTTTTCATGGATTCCTCGATTTCTCCTGATCGAGCCAGCATGTCGATAACACAGGCATAATGTTGATACGTCGGTTTTATGCCCTCCATATCCAACATGGAATCGAATAAATGCAAACCTTCATGAATAAGACCAGCATGGTTGAAAGCGGAAAGAAGATTCAGTAAGGTGACCTCATCAGGTATCAAGCCAGAAAACTTCATCCGCTTGAAAAGTTCAACTGCTTCTTTCGGGCGTGCATGCTGCCCAAGAGCCAAAATCATTGAATTGTAGGATATTACATCCACAACGTCGTTCGAATTGAAGACTCTCCATGCATCATCAATGCATCCACAATCAGAGTACATGGTTAAAAGTGCATTTGTCATGGCGGCATCCTTGTCAGTTATGTTCTTCAGGCTGTGGGCATGAACTTGCCTGCCCATCTCCAGCATCGACATGCTCCCACAGATGGCAAACAGGCTGGAGTAGACAAACTGCCTCGGCTTAATATCTTGGCACAACATCTTGTAGAATGTAAGGAGAGCAGCTTCTTCCTCCTTGCAGTTGACATACGCGGAGATCATAGAAGACCAGACAACCGGGTCCAAAGTATCCACATCATCAAAGACGGCCTTCACATCTTCCAGTGCTCCTGTAGCCGCGTACATAGAAACGAGGGAAGCACCCACAAAGGGATCCTTGTCCAGCCCGGATTTGACTACCTGCGCGTGCACGGCTCCCCCGAGTTCTTGCACGCAGACGCCACCACGGTTCCTGCCAATGCCGGACAGCAGCGCCGGGAACGTGTACTTGTCGGGGGCGACACGGTCATGCCTCCTCATGCAGCGGAACAGCGCCAGCGCCTCGTCCCGGCGGCCCGCCTGCGCGTACCCTTTGATGAGCGCGTTCCAGGTGACGGCGTTCCTGCGTGCCATCCTGTCGAACACCTGGCGCGCAAGGTCGGGCTCCCGGCATGAGGCGTAGAAGTTGAGGATGGCGGTGGAGAGGATGGTGTTATCCCCGTCGCCCAAGAAGCCACGCACCACGGCCTGCGCGTGGAGCTGCGCACCCAGGGAGTGGGAGGGGGAGGAGGATGAGGCGGCCTTGAAAAGCGCGGAGAATGCGCGGGGCGTGGGGGCGTTGGCGATGAGGGCCGGGGCGGCGGACAAGGCCGATGAAGAGGACGCGGTGGTGACACTGATGCGGCAGCGTTGGCGGCGCGTTGTCGGCTTTCGGTTCCGGTGAGGAATGGCGTCGCCGGCGGGGAGGGAGGTCGAATTGGCAGCGCACGGGGTTGGAGGAAGAATAATTGGCGGCATTGGTGAAGGAAGGCTACCGGCTGAGCAGAGCCAAACGAGTGGACAAAACATTCGCAAGTTCGCTACGGGGAAAATATGCAGTGATCAAGCCCGTGCGGTGATACAATGCTCCGGGGCCTCTATATATGCATATGTACATACATAATATACTAGCACAAATGCCCGTGCGTTGCCACGGATATAGGTTACAATATATTTTAATTCATGTAAATATTTCACCTCTTAACCAGAGTGATATGGTGAATGTTACAAATGATGTTTGATCAAGCAGGAGATAGAGCTGCCGAGCTAGAGATGCAGGCTCGCCCTGCAGCACGAGCAGGAGCTACGAGCTGGGGGTCCTGTTCATCTTAACATATGTCCAGCAGAAACCTCATTGTCCAAAAGAGAGCCTTATTGGTAGTGTATTTGTATTAATAAATTAGCAAGGTATTCTTTTTTATTTTTAGGAAGTGTTTTTGTATGGAACTGCCTTGGCATGCATTCAGTAATTCACCACCATGCGAAATTTCAGACTCCAATACCAGGTGGCCACAAAATATTTAGAACATATAAAATATTGTCTTGAAGGACAACATGAAGAATATCATCTTACAGTGGTTCTGCTTTAACATGTATTTCATTCCATAAAAAAGCTCACTCCAGCAACACAGACCGCATTGTCAATTAGATGTTCTATAATAATTAAAATAATTGCATCGGTAGCCGCCACTATTGTCCTGGAATAACTCTTCACATTGCAAATCTACATTCTTCCACATAACACAGAAAACAAAGAAACGTAACTTTTAGAGTTAACTCAATGTGATGGCATCACTGACAATTAACTCAACAATCGAATATCCTTGGAAAAAACATCAAGAAATAGACCAATAATGGTGAAACTCACTTATGTACCATCGTATACACAAACACATAAGAAAATTGGGAACAGTTGGGTTCAGTCTCATGGAAAGGAATTTGAGGGTTCACATAACATGAGAGAATACTATACTGCCCATGCGTTACATTCTGTCAAAGATCCATGACTCTGATGATACTGCATGGACCAGCGCACTGATAAAGAACGCAGAAGATTAATAAGGCGAAAGAATTTTGCTAGGGACTTACCACGTTCCTCGAACTGATCAAATCCTAAACTACAGAGAAGGTTCGCTGATCCAATCACCTGCAGCAGGGAAGTTACACGATGAGGGAGTTAATGATTCTTCAGTTGAGGCAGCTGTTACCTTATCAAAAAACATCTAAAGCAAGATGCAACAGTTTCGTTCAAGACAATACATTCGGCCTCTAAGTACCGTTAAAACGGCAAACCAATTTGAAACTCACAACCGAAACTATATAGTTTCAGGAAGATCTCACAAAGTTAACTGAAACGGATAGCAATGTTAAATTACTCCTTGTAGACGCAATAAAAAATAGTACTTACATCCTCTGTGGAAAGATCAAACAATGAATTATATCTATGTTAACTGTACTCTAGACAGATATTTTAAAATGCCTCTCAAATCTCAATACAGAAAACAGTAACTGTCAGAAGTTCAGAACAGAACTCGCAATGGACAGCAGCATTCAGAAGGTTGTATCTTTCACTATACTCAGCGAAAATTTGAGAAAATATTCTCCATGGAAATTTCAAACCAAATACTGAAAATACATCCATAGCCCCATGGAAAGATTCAGCCTTGAAGTTACTTTGAAACGCCGCGCAAAATAGGAAGTCATGCCTAAAACTGCAGTCTGACGAAAACTGACAGTAACTTCAGATAGGCATTATCTCCTAGAATACCTGACGAAAAATTGCAAATAAATATTCGTTGGAAAGGTCTTGAAAAGATATACAACTTTTATTTTAATGGCCCGGTCATATTCGACACCTAGAACCCTCAAAACGCAATCGATCAGTTACTGCACGCACTGCAAACAGAGTTGTGCAAAACAGACTTGCGAAAACAAACAGCGGGACAGGAAGGATTACTTCACTTCATACTTACAACAGATCACGCCCCTGCCCTCTCTATTTCGCTCTTTCTATCTCTTCCCTGCAGCAAACCTTCTTTCAAGCTGCCTCAAACACCATAGATTTGGATTGGTGTCCTCCTGAATACTCTGGCCCCTGAGGCTTTCTTCTCCTTCTCAGAATCTGAACTTATCAAATCACGCTAATTAGTGGAAAAGGATGCGGATTGACCTCTCACTAACACAGCCACGTGTGCCAACAAATATTTTAACCACTCACCCGGCTCATTCATTGGTACAGAAAAATCACAACATAATTAAGCATATTATGCACCAGTCGAGAGAGCCGAATTAAGTGATTGGTGGCACAGCGGGATAGGCGCCCCCCGTGTGGAACCGCCCGACTCTGGAACCAACGACCAGAGCTCCGACGACAGGCGCCCTCCACGGCAGGACGGCGGGCCGAGCAGGGCGCGGCCACCACCGGGATCGCATTAGGCTCAGAGAAGTCGGTCAGGGTGGAGGACGTATCCGTGAAGGCTGCAGGACGCGACGTCGTCTGTGGTGGAAGGGCAGAAGGAGGCGCGCACGGGCGTGGGAGGGCGCTAGTAGCCCCTGCGCCCCATGGACGGGGCCTGCCCGCTAGACAAGCGGGGCGGCGGCGGCGGCAGGGGAGACGGAGGCCCGCGGGTGTGGGAGCCGGCAACGGCCGCGGCGTCGAGTGTCGCCGACGGTAGAACGCCGCAGGCGTGGGGGGCAGTTGGGGTAGGGGTAGGAGTCCCGACGGGGTAGGCAGTGGCGGCGCGCTGCGGCGGGGCTGGGGTCGTCGGCTCGCGGCAGGGGGTAGCGCCGTAGCGGCACGCTGGAGACCGTGATGCGATTTGGAGTTTTTTTTCTAATCGCTCGTCGGGTTGACCTCATCAGGACTGCGGGTTGATTCATACTAACTTCAGGGGCTTTTATGCAAAAGTACTAATGACGGACGATCAGAAGCATTAGCTGCTTTATTATTAAAAAAAATTAAATAAAACTAGCAAACATGTCCGTGCGTTGCAACGGTAGATACAAAAATTACACTCTGGTCAAATAAGTATGACTCAATCAACATCCTTTATTTTAACACGGTGGCTCATCATTTTGCCATTTACCTTTCTTCCGACTCTCGCTGATGATGGACGTGATGTCCACATGATCACAATGCATTCGACATGGTAAATCTCAAGACAATGAGCTTGCCACCGCATGACACACTTGTCATTGTGTAGCGCAAGAAAATGTTTAAAACTTTTAAAATAAATCTCATCTACCACGAACTACTCCCAACGCCTAGACATATAAAGACTTTCCAAAAACTGATCAAAACGTAGACATAAAAGACTTTTGAAACGTCAAAAAGTTTTTGGAATTGACAAACATTTTTTCTAAATAATTGGGCATTTTTAAAATTCGTAAACATTTGTTTTGTTTAGACGAACATTTATTGAACACATGAATATTTTTTAAATTCCTGAACATTTTTTGAATCAATGGTTTTTTAAAATTAGTGAAAAATTCGCAGAAAAGTTGATTTTTTTTGAGAATTTTCTAAAATTTCATGGATATTTTTTTAGATTCGTGATCGCGAATATGTTTTGTATACATGATCATTTTTTCAAAATCAAGAACATGGTTTTATTTCCCGACAATTGTTTTCCAAATTGTAATTTTTTTTATAATTTTCCAAAATCTTTGTAAAATTACCAACATTTTTTGGAACCACGAAAATTTTATGATTTTTGAAACATTTTTAAGATTCGTAGACATTTTATGATTTCTCGACCATTTTTTTTCCAAAATCTGCAACTTTTTAAAAAATTTCAATCTTGAATTAACTCAAAAAAGAGAGTAAAAAACAGAAATAAGAAAAGAAAAGACAAAAAGATGAAGAAAAATAGAGATGCCGCGTCCCGTGGGCCGGCCCATGAAGACATTCAGGGGGGATGAGGTGGGTGAGAAAAAGGAGTTGGAAAAAATGGTGAACGCAGGGTTCGAACCCTGGTCTTTCAAGTGGGAGAAACAGGCTGTTGCCACTACGCCACCAGCTCACATGTGCTAAATGATGGGTATCGTACTTATATCGACGGTGTCTTAACAAAAAACGAATCGTTTTCCGTTTAGATGGCATAGCGGGTAATATATGGCAACTTCGAGGGTAATGTTTAGACGGACGACCAGAAGCAATACTTGTTTTATTAGTGTGTATATGTATATATATATATATATATTATATATATATATAATATATATAAATATAAATATAAATATAAATAATATAATATAATATAATATAATTAGTATATATATATATATTATTTTATTTATTTATTTATTTATTTATTTATTTATTATTTTATTTATTTTATTTTATTTTATTTATTTATTTATTTATTTATTTATTTATTTATTTATTTATTTATTTATTTATTTATTTATTTATTTATTTATTTATTTATTTATTTATTTATTTTATTTATTTATTTTATTTATTTTATTAGTAGGTAGAGATAGAGATAGAGATAGAGATTAGAGAAAGACTTCCTCCATAAACTAATATAAAAACATTTAAAACATTACTTTAATGATCTAAACGCTCTTATGCTGAATTCCCACTACAACACGGTGAATAATTGGAGGCATAATCTTAGTGGCGTTTTCTGAAACGCCTTGTAACCTGTTGTACGAAGGCGTTTTTAGGGATCGCCTTAAAATACAGAGTATACGAGGCAGAACGCCTCCGAATCCATGTGCAACAGAGGCTTAACTGCAAAACGCCGTTGTTGGGCCGTGCCTATGAAGGCGGATCAGTAGAACACCGTGGTTAGATTTTGTTCAGCGGCATCTTGCAGAACGCCCTCCCGTATTATTTGCGGCGTTTAGAGGCAAAACGCCTAGCTGTAGAGATCTAATCAGCAAACAGCGGCAGAAGTTTTTCCTCTTCAGATTAACTAGCGGCACTTTCTGAAAATACCAGAGAGCTTTCGAAGGCGTTTTCTAAAAATGCCGTGGAATGTCTAACTTTCGGAGGCGTTATGTTAAAACGCCTTAATTAGGCT